TGATTGAAAAAAATGCAATTATTTTTCGTATACATAATATGAAAAAATTTCTTTTTTTACTTTATATATGAGTAATATATTTTAAGAATGCCACTATAGAATTTTCCACCCAAGCCTGCTGCCGACCATGCTAACCAGGAAATCCGCTTCTGCGTGTACGCGCAAAACAGAAAAACAAAAATACTGTTTATCCCAAATTACTTCAATAAACGTAATAAAAACGTTTCGTTTAATGCTCTGACATTTTTTGAATAAAATAACACAGAAAATTGCCTTGGACAGATTAAATATTATCATAACAAGTTCCTGTATTCAATTTCAGAAGATGTATCAACATATACAATGTAAAATATATCATTTAAACTAAATATGCATAATAATAATTGATGTTTAATTTTAATTTGTATTGATTTAATCTGTATAATAAATTTAGTAATGGTAAAGAATTGCTAAGTCAGCAAATAAATAATACAAATTTCTATAAATATTTCTATTATTTAACGTTATTTAACATACAATAAAATAATGATTTTTAATTTGTCAATACTCATTAGTTATTACTTATGTTATATATTTATGTCATACATTTCATATCATTTAATTTAAATTCTTAAAAAAAAGAGTATGTATATTTTATACATATATACTAGTACATGGTTTTTACTAGTATATGTCTGACTGGGTAATTTTTAATAATTATTGGTTATTTCAGTACAAAATCACAAAATACAAAGTGTTGTTTAAGTATGTGTTCGATAGAAAACTAAATGTCGCACTGCATCCTTTTAATATATTAAAAAACAAAAGCCATAATTTTTAAAAATATGTTTGTTATCATTGTATTTTGTATATGAAAATATAACCAAAAGCAAATTGAACATGTAATATTTTACGAAAATGTAAATTGATATTATAGATAAAATAAAAGAAAAAAGAAATTCAGTTCGTTGTAATAAATAAAAATATATTCAATATGTAAATATTTAAGATTAAAAAATATATTTTTAAATTTTTTTTTAAAAAAACGAACAAAGTAGTTTATTTTAAAGCGAGTATAACCAATATAAACACATATAATTCACAATTTAGCAATCATCATGAAACATTTAAAAAAAAATTAAAAATACATATTGAATAAAATACCTACAATCTATATAATTCTAAAATCAAAAGAAAGAAAACAGATTATAATGAAATAATATTGTATCAAACCCATTTTATGTGTATCTGTATATATTTGAATATTGGGAATTTTACTAGGAATCATTGAAAGTAACATAATTAATATCTTTGATAATAAATGTCTCCCCAACTAACTACGCTTAGTATAAAATATAGATTAAATAATAAAACAGTTTTAAATAAAGGTGTGATAATATTATGTATATTGGTTTTAATAGTGTTCACGCATTTTTGTCTTAAAATTAGTGTATATATCTTATGATAAAAATAATAATTGTTCATTATTTATTGTTTATTTGAGTCATTGAAAATTATTGGTGTTTATTATACAATATACAATACTAGCTTGTATATGATGATAATAGACATTAATAAGCTCTCCAATATATACCTAAATTATGTATTCATATTAACGTTAAAGTATGAAAAGTTTTAAAGTTTTAATTAAATTCTTCGTATAGCTAATATTTTATATCATGTAGTAGGTAGATATACCCCTAATAATTCGTGTTATTTGTCTAGGTACCTTTGTAAATACAAATCCCATATGACTGGCCTATAGGCTTTTCCGCTTCAATAGGACTTAAGTAATGGGACACAAATACGTACATATATCATGTATTGGATTTAGTAACTTAAAAATAAAAGACATTCAACTGATTCAAGCTAAAAAGTATTATCCTCTTAAATATAATTTAATTAATTGAATTTTAGTTTTACACATTTTGACGCATTAAAAGTATTATAGTATTATTGTTATCTATTTTTACAAGATAGTTACCTAGTTTTCTAACATACATACTGTATACGTTTTTATTTATAAGTCTAAAAACAAAGGTGTAAGTTACTTAAAATAATGAAGATATATATAGGAAAGAACTTGACAGGGCACAGTAAAAGGGTGTCATTTTAGATACTCGATTTACTTGCTCTAGTGCTATACAGTATTGTATTAATATATTATTATTTATTGTTGTAAATTCAAAATCTACAATGGTAAATTATCGACTGCTCTGAACGCAACTTTGCAATTTAAACTAAACTTGTTATCAAATTTTTTTAGTAGTATATCGCAGAATTATATTTATAGTTTTTTACTTTAAATAATTACTGGGAAAAAAATTGTATCTTTAAAGTATCAATTAAACTCCTCAACTTTCAATCAATAATGGGCATGATTAAAAGAAATTATTGAATCTTTCTTATTTACAAAATTATCCTTGAAAAAGTCTGAAATAAATAAATTAAAAAATAAGATATTTTTATTTTCCAAAATATAAACATACTAAATGTGTACTAATAAAAAAAATCAAGTATTAAAAAGTAATTTAAAGAGCAAATTCAAATTTAATTATTGTATAATGATCTTTATAAGGTTATTTAAATTTTCTGCAGATAATTAAAATATATAATACATACTAAAATGGAATGAAATACGAGTAAAACATGGAACAAAAATATTTTAAATTGATTTAAGTTCTTAAAATAATGAAAATTTTAAAATGTTTTTGGTTAAAGAATATATAAAGCACACACAAAAATCTATCATCATTTACCAATGTGAAGGATTTTAAATATTTTTGACTAAGGATTTTAATTATGTAAGTATACTGAATCAATTCTACCCTTTTAATGTTTTATTGGATTTTAAAATTTAAAAACAAAATTTTTCACATAAAATTCTTTAAATGGTAAAATTTGTAGTTTCAATGATTTTAGCTGGTATCCAATTTATTTAATTACATTCATACCAAATTAATAGTAATATGAACACCTATTGGTATAATTTTTTTATATAGTTAATATACCGTACAACTTTTATATTTGTTGATTTATTAATGTTAATTTAATGGAGAGATGGCGATAAGGGATAACTTATAATTAAATTATAAAATTATTTGAAAGGATTTGTGTTAACACTATAAGAAAACTTATATGAATTGTTTATTATCTTGCTCTCAAAATAATTTAATAATAGTTTGTCATCTTAAATTTAAGCTTTTAGAGATATCAAGTACCTATACGTACTATATCATATTCAAAATTGAAAATTATAAATAAAAATATAATTTGATAAAATAATATGATATTTATTACTTATTATAATAGCTAAATTTATTTAGGTAATTAAAATAAATAAATAATTTCTTGTGTGTAATAAATTGATGGAAATTTCATTAAACTATTATATTTACAATGTTTTAATAAACATACAAAATTAATTTATGAAAATTTCTGAACAGTATAAAATAAACATTCCTGCAACTGCAAATAAACTAAATACAAAACAATTCCATTACACTTGAGATTTAGAATGTTCGGTTAATAGAACGATTTAATGAGTAATATTTTAGTAGACAGTGGACGAAACCTTTGAGAAAATTGCATTTTTTTACAATGATTACATATCGAATTTATAGCTATAATAAGCGCTTTGTTGTAACAAACTTTTATGTGAAAAATAAATATGAAATAAAGCTTAAATTTTTAATAATGTTATTTATTAACAATTAAATATTGAACAATTTTTTGATTATCACATTGTTGTTTTTTTGCTTAAATTAAATGTATTATTTTTTAATGAAAATCATCTCAATATATTTCTGTGAATCTGACTAATATTATATTATATTAAAATAAAAATGAGTTAATGATTTTATATTATAGCTTAGCAATAATTAATCACTACAGATAATTTTGTAAAAGTGTTATATAAAGTTAAAAGTTAAAAGTTTAATTTTAACATTTTTAAGTACAGCAAAATAATTTGTTTTTAATTTATAGAACTTTAACCAAATGTATTGATATAATGAACACCCTTACCTACAATGGTTCTTAGAAAATTATTAAAACACTTAAAAGAATCATATTTAATATGCATAGTATTAGATAATACATTTATATTTATATTATATATATAGTAAAATGGTTAATAATATTTTATAATACGTACACAAATTAAAAAATAATATAATACAATAGAACATACTATGTAGTACACGAAATAATTGTAATTTTAGATTACACAATTAGCCAAATTATATTTCAAAATATCTACTTATTTTAATATTTGCCTGTTTAAAATAATTTTAGTTATCGATAAATTATTTTATCGCTTTAGATTGACTTTTCTAGTTAAAAAAATGATACATACAATGAGTAATAGTTTGATAATTATTTCAATGAATTGCTTTGTTATTCTCAAATATGTACAGTATATTTATAATTATGTAATTGAAACTTTCTTACTGTATTAGTTAAGATTGTTATAATATTATACTTATTGTTTTTTTACAAACATTTTTGGGTAGTTATGGAGAAAAAATTTCTAAAAATGCATACACCTAATGTGTTAATTTAAAATTTAATCTAATTAAAAGTGTTAGTTTTTTTTATTTTACAATAATAACTATTTATTATCTATAATAATGCATCGTTATACTGCACCAAACTGAAAGTAAAAAAAATAAAAAAAAAATTGGTTTTTTTAATAAAATTATATGTTGAGTTCCAATTTCATTAACAACGTATAGAAATTGAAAGTGAATTAGTCACCCTGGCTTTCTTTTTATAAATGTATTTCATTTATATTGTATGATTATAGGCATATAACTAATTTATGAATTATTATGTGAATATCAATTTTGCTAATGAAGTTATTTTTTTTTTTCAGAAATATTTGATTAATTAAATAATAATTATAATCTTAATTAATATTTTTAATGATTCTTTGAAGTATCTAGAGCCGTTCATATTTGTGACAGATGTAATAATATTACAGTACCTACCTAATTTAATTACATTAAATATTACATTACTTGGAATTTGTGATGTATTGTTGGTGTTGTAGTCTGTGCCGTCAAACGTATCCTAAAAGAAAATGTTATTATAAATATAATTACGGATACTTGTTTATACTTAATAGAAAAAAAGTTGTTCACACCACTGTCATGTTTGAAACAGAATTTGTCTTTTGTAAGTCGATATGTTGATTCCTTCTTTTCTGGCTGTGGATCCGATGTATCGCTCTCAGCCATAGCTCTCTAAAACACAAAGCAAATTTGAATTAAGATGATTATAATACTTAAAATAATCATTTTGTAACATTAATTTAATATTAGTAATATCACTGCTGTATTTAAAATATGATTTTTATACTAGTTAATTTTACATCAAAGATTTACAAAAGAAAAATATTGTATTTCTAAACTGAAAAAGTATTAGATATCATCCAACTACATGGTATACTATATTTATATATATTATAATATGTACTACCATATATACTTATATATAAGTATATATTATGCGAATGACGCGACGTAACAATATGCTATATTTTTTTAAATTAAATCATAAAGCTCAAAAAAGTAAATCTTTGTTGCTTCAGCTAAAATAAAAACATATAAAAAAAAAAATAAAAATAATAAATAAATTGAATTCTTATTTCTATAATGTTTTTTGTTACTTAAAGCAAGATTCTTCAGACAATGTATTCTCTATGTAAAAATATTCATCAACCAGTTGTTGAGATATATCAATCTAAATAGTCGTTAGTACGTTGCATCGTATAACGTTTACGTAAATCTTTTTTTTTTCAAACATAAAATATATGAGTCAGTAAGACTAAAGTATGATTTGTTCGTGGATTATCATCGGTCTGATATAACTTAAAGTATACTCAGTTAACGGTGCAAACTTGACTATTAATAATATATTAACATAATTTTAAAATAAATACATAGAAAAACACAAACAGTAAATGATACCTATATGCAGGGTTTAAAGTGGAACAAAATAGCGTAAGATACTGTAAAATTCTTATTTCGTGATATATTTTTTATAACATTTTGAGAATTTTGAGCAATTCACGCGTGTATAAAAATTTAACTTAAATGATTTTGATATTTTTAAATTTTTATTTTATCATGTTGTGTTGTTGCAATCGATGGTATGGAGGGTCCTTGTGTTCATTAATATTTCTAAATTCTAAATAAAGTGATATAAATTAAATTCATAAGTACATTTTTCATTTTTATCACTATATCTTTAAATTTTTATTAACATTAATTTTTTTTTCAAAATTTAAGCTATATGTGATAGTAAATCATTATCTATAATAAAAAATAAATATTTTTATGAAATAATTCAATATAAATAGTACAAATAAAATCATTAATTAAATTTTCATTAAAAATTACATTGTATGGATACATCATACAATATATCTAATAAATAAAACTAGGATTTTAATAACTTAAAAACTACACTAAAATAATATGCAAAAATAACCTAAAAACTCTAAAAAGTAACATAAAAAATGTACTTAAATGAGAGAAAAAAATTTAATTTTAAAATAATAATAATTATTAATCATTAATTATTATTCATTAATTTTTATATTGTACAAAATTGGTAAAAATTTATTTAAAGTGAATAAAATTAAACAAATATATACAAATTTGGGTTAATAATTATTTATATTACTTTTTCAAAATTAATGGACTGGAATAGGTAATTGGGATTACTTATACAACATAATATGTTAAAAAAAGCTTAAAATTATAAAAAATAATAATAAAATAAATTTAAATAAACAAAATTAACGTAATATTTGTAAAAATGATCTTAAAAATGCAAAATAAAAATTACACATTCTAAATTGTTATATAACGAAATAAATATAGTTGTTGGTTAGGACTGTATAATATATAACACTTAAAGAAAAATAATTCAGTCATCAAAATCTAAGCGCTCTACTAATAAAAAATGTATTATAAATAAAATAAAAGATATAGAATCAAAAATATTATGGAACAGTGAGATATAAAAAAAAAAAAAAATTAACAAAGTTAGCTATGTATATAATGATATTTTTATTAAATTAAAAAAATATATAGTGAAATAAGTTAAGAATAAAATTATAAAATTTTGAAAATAAATAGTTATTTTTAACAGAGGAAATTATTTAGATTCAACTTAAACGCTTGAGTATACTATCTTATCGTTTGAAGAAAATATTAAAGTAAACAATTCTTGAATGTGAAGTTAGAAGTAAGAGGACAGCTGAGAAGGTACTATTGTCATTCCCTTTAACTCGTGTCAATAGGATATAGGTTTGCGTTCTCACTTCTCATTATTTGAAATTAAAATAAATACTCATATTATTCAATAATGGTTTTAAAATAAAATCGCGTGGTTTTGATTGTATGAAATATTTATTTGTTTTGTTATGAATTCATATATCTATCTATCATGTCTGAGTGTTATTATCAAATAGTTACTCTTTCAAAATTCCATAAATTTATGCACATTTATTTTTTCTTTTCAATTCTTATCGTAATTATAACCACAGACAATATATTTTAAATAAAAGTTATACAAAAATAAATTTATAAATTACAAAGAACGAAAGGCACTGTATTTAAGCTAGTGGTATTCTTAAAGGTAAAAATGATTCAGTTTATTCAAAATTTGTTCCACTATCATTTATCAGTAATTTAATATCCTAAATCATTATCAGAAGACATTTTAAATAAGGTATAAAAATATAATATAATAATAATAAATATTAAATTGGTATTAGAATTAACTATGTTTTAATAATTTTCTATGGAAATCCGTAAGAGTATGTAATAAGGGCTAAAAATAAGAAAACTAGCAGAATGATTGATGTCTTTGATAAAATAACGATATAACGTTTACCATACATTGCTTAACCGTTTATGTAAGGGATTTAAAAGCCAATGTAAAGAGTCTTATATTTGGTTATTAATATTATTATAGAAGATTAATTTGAAATATGTTAGTATCTCTATTAAAACTTATATATTTCCTACAATATTATAAAGTATTAAATAAGTATTAAGTTAATATAAATTATATTATAAAAATTTAATACAGTGTGTATTTAATGTATTTTATTTACTAGATAATAAAAATAAATATATAATAATAATAATAATAATAACAATAATAATAATGAGTATAATATATAATATTATTACATAATGACAACATTTTGAATACCTAATATTTAATAAAGTAAAATGATAACAATTTTTCCATGATGAGTTATAACTTATAACTCTTCTATAAATTATAGTTTTATATTATCTTTTAGTTGTTACTAGCAATTAAAAATATACCTATTACCTGCCTATATTAAATAATAATTTAAAAAAAGTGTTTTTATTTATTGTATTTAAAAATACTTTTCTTATTAAGTTTAGACTTTTAATATAATAAATTAAAGCATTATAGGACTTAAAAAAAAAAAAAAAAATGTCACTAAATTAAAATCAATATAAATTTTGATGTAGAATAAATTTTAAAAAGAGCTATTTCTAGACCTATCTATACGACTGTACAGGTTTTTTTATTAAGTACCTATATAATTATACTTATATTACTAATAAATCAATAGTTTATGAAAACAATTGTTATTTTAAGACTATTATTGTGATATTATAATTTATAATAATTTTAAATCTAACAAATACCTATTTATATGCATGACTAATTTTTGTAAAATATTTTAATAAAGAGTAATGATACGTATAAATAAAATTAAAAAACTTGGATTAATAATTCGTTTTGTATTTATTAAACTATATTTATTTAAATATTATTTTAATTTATTGAAAATAATATGACTGCATAGTCATTAGTTAAATAGAACAGATTTTGACATAGAATGAAAATTTTCAATAAAGCTCATATTTTTTAACAACACTTTATTTCGTCGCGCATACGCGTAAACGCACATATTATATCTAATACAGTTTCAGCATACAAATTAATGTTTGTCTGGGATTGAATGTTAAACACGTGAAGGGCATTTGTATTTATATTATATATTTATAGTTACCGGTCGTTTATTAAGATGATTTATTTAAGGCATATTATGTCGCTAGTGTTCATTGTTGAACTTTGAAAAAAGTAAAGCAGACACATTATGAGTCACGTTCATACTTTCAAAATTAACTATTTATTGTAATATATGTGCACAATATAAACGTACTTATATTCTATATATCTATACTCCTATATATTATTGTGATATTATATGACACCAGTAAATAACAAACAACAATGCATTTAAGATATACGTTTCTGTGGATCATTTAATAAGTACTGGACAAGCCTGGAGATAAAAGCCGCGGGTTAATCATACCAACTACTCATTCAGTCGAATGTATCAGTCAGTTTTTGTGTTCCTATATAATATGATAATATGGAATCCGATTTTGACATTGTCAATTGGATTGATTTGTAGAATCAAATGACACTACTGGAATAGAACAGATATGTTTTTAGCTCAGATAGGTACATTTTATTTATTTATTTCTCCCAAACCACTGAAGTTTAAACATTTGTTATTCCGTTTGTCCACAAATTTATTATTTTATTTTAAGAATTTAAATTAGACTCTTATCAAAAATTCAATGAGAGCGCGTTTGATGTTTTACAATGTTACATTTGATTATGTAGATATTATAGTGAACAGTTTAATTTAATAAGTATGTAGTGTAATGATTGATTTGTCTATTAAGTACATATTAAAATGGTGAAAGTTATTAATTTTTTTAAATCTAGAAGACTAAAAATTCTGGGTTAAATAGCAACTATATTGCGTATACCACAAACACACTTGCTCCAACTTAGTCTAATGTGATAGGAAGGTAATAGCTTTTCATAAAAATAAATAACTTCAGCAAACATAGAAAACATACTTTCTTATTTTTAGGTGAACTTAAATCTATAATTTGTCTCTCACTTGACACTATCATTTTTAAACTAATCGAATACAAAAATGAAAAATAACTCGTACACCTCAAACTTTTTTCTCCTAACTTGTAATATTAGAAAATACTACGGGAAATCCCACAATAAAGGAAAAAATACAATGTTATTGTTTATTTATTTAAAATTAAAAACTATAGGTTATTGTTATGTAAATTTAGCATGACAGATATAGGTGTACATATAAATATTATTTCATGACGAAGTATATCCCATTAGGAGATTTCTAAGCTCATAT